CGATTGGCAAGTGTGCCAGCAGCACAGCAGCAGAAGTGCTGGCGGGGCAGCAGTGCCCACTGCCAAGTACTCCCTGAGGCCATCCTGGTTGAAAACCCCTGGTCTAACTTATCTTAAGACAATGGTTATAACAAAAGCTATGGATCCAGATCCAAAACACCACTTCAGCCACTAAAGTGCAAGTTAAGACGAATTTAAGCATCCAAATCCAAGTGAGCAATCAACAAAAACCTTGTCTAACTACTGTAGGCACCTGACACTCTGGTCCACCTACATTTTCCCAAGTAAAGTTGCTTAGATGTCTAACACCCTGCTCTTGACCATGCTGAGAGGAGCCATCATCCTGACTGAGATGAGTATCTTGATACCATTTGGGATTCTCAACAAGGAACCCCTGTACTTTAGTCCCCATAGGCCCTATAGCATATGGAACTGATCTGATAGGCAGGATCATAACACATACATACAGCAATGAGTTCAGCACAAAATACCATGCCACAGCTACTTTCATTCAGAAATATGATCAGATGAGCATTGGTGGTGGTACTCCTGCCCACTTCTTCTGCAACAGCCTAGCAGTTATTCAGAAAATAGGAGACCGACATGCAAGGTTGTCCTCAGCCTAAAGGGGGTCAAAACCAACAACTCTTACCTCTGAGGAGAGCAACTTAACCTGTAGGACAAAGTCAAGGTTGGAATAATGGCTTCTGTGAACCTCTTCATGTGAAGCTGTACCACTGATCAAAAAGTTATGAAAGATTCACTGCATCAAGAAAATAGGCAAGAGGGAGCATGACTAAGCAGCCTAGTAATAAGGGAATTTACTTGTTGGGATAGTCCTTGATACTCTCCCTGCTCCCAACAGGGAACATACCTCATCTAAAGCAAAATGCATAAGCAGTCTCCAAAAATACAATATTAATATATTACAGTGATTCTGGATATGACACTGCTGGAACAGGCTCAGGATTAAGAGGAACAGGATCTGCTACAACTTCAGGATCTCAAGGCTCTGTCTCTGCTGCAGATTTGGGGTCTAGAGGTTCTGGATCTGCAAGGTCGGAATCAAGATCAAGCAGTAGCAGCAAAAGTAATGAGCTTTATTTGCTTTTTCTGTTCATACTATTATGAGCTATTCAGCTGTAGTGATCTTGGAATATGCAACTTTAGAAAAAAAATTGCTTCCTTTTGCTATTATTTTTTATTGCAACCTTTGCTCTTAATATGCTTTAATTGTTATTAATGTAATTAACTTTTATTAAATCTAATTAATATTTTAGTCAAATTCATGAGTCAAAATAGCAGAGTGGAATTTCTTATGCAACCTGAGTGAAGACAAAAGGATTTTATCTTAAGTTAATATGCACTATAATCTATCTAAAACAGTCTCTAAAGTTATCTTTTGCAAGAAAAGGTGTCAGTGAACGAAGAACTATGGTTTTATATATTTTAATGGTGACATTTACAGAATCAAGTACTAACACACTATCTTTTTTACATTCAGAACCAACAAAAACCAGAGTGATTAAAACAATAATTGAGGAGCTTGATCAGCATGGGACAGTCACATCCTCTAAGGTCCAATCAGTTGAAGAGAAGCCAATAATATAAACAACATCAATATTTGGAACAGAGGGTCCTTTTACAAATGCCATTAAAAAGCAGCAAAAATGAGAAAGCTTCTTTTGGTGCAGCCAAAATAAACATTTTCTTCTAGGGGTGCACCGATAGAGATTTTTTGGGCAGATATTGATGGCCGATTTTTAGCAAGCCATATCAGCTGATACTGATCCGATTCTGATATGAAGCTGGGCAGCTTGGAGAGTGGCATCTAGCTAGTAAGTCTGTTGTGGGGGAAGGGGCAAGGGGAGAAGGAAGGGGCATGGGGGGCGCAGATTGAGGTCCTTGCAGTGAGGGAAGTAGTGAGGCTGGGGCAGGAGCAGGGGCAGGTGCTGTCCAGACAGGGCAAGGTGCAGGACAGAGTCAAGAATGGCTCATCTAGACGACACGGGGGAGCAGCTCCCATTCCTGCATGCACCCCGGGAGGGCATGGGGGGCATGTGCCCCCAGATATGTGTGCAGGGCAAGGGTGGACTGCCACTGTGTGCTGGGGTAGAGGGTGGCACTGGGCTTTTGCCAGCAGTGGGGCTGGGCCAGGCTGGACTCAGGGCAGATGGTGGTGACGCTGGGAAGAGGGTTATAAGGGGGGGCTGCAGCCACCCCAAAATTTGCCATAGCCCCCCTTCTCCCAGCATCGCCACCACCCACCCTGAGCACAGGCCGGCCCAGCCCCTGCAACAGGAAGAGCCCGGCACCTCCCCCAGCCCCAGCCCTAGCGCACAGCAGCAGCCTACCATCACCCCACATGCAGATCTGGGGGCACATGCCCCCCATGCCCTCCTGGGGTGTGTGTAATGGCAGAAACCACCACCACCCCTCTCTGTGCCCCCAGGCAAGCTGCTTGTGGCTCCATCCCATGCTCCACTCTGGCTGTGCTGCACCTGCCCCTGCCCCAGGCCCTGCCCCACTCCCTCTGTCACTGCTGCGGCCTCGATCTGCCTCCCCTGCCCCATGCTCCTTCCCTCACAACAAACTTGCCAGCCAGGCCTGGCTGCTCTCCACACTGCTGAGCTGTGCTCCTGGAAGCCTGTGTGCTGCACTGTGGCACAGGGCATTTATCAGCAACATTATCGGCCACATCAGCCAAAAAAAGCCAATTACCAATACTGTCAATTTTCCTTATATCAGTGCCAATCCAGTATGGGACCGATGTATCAGTGCACCTCTATTTTCTTCTCTTAAAAGAAAAAAGGAAGCCTAAAATGTCTCTTTTTTTCCACTTTAATGAATTGTATAGTGGTATGAAAATTAAAAATCTTTTACTATGTTCTTGTGTATTTCAATAATCATTCTTACTGTTGCGAATTACATAAATTATTCCTAATTCTTCAAATAAAAAATATCTTGATAGAATGATGCCAGTGATGAGCAAACCTCAAATATTTTGGTAGTTGGTTTGGTTTAATGAGGCCGTAGACAGAAAGAGAATGTAAGTATACAGTGTAGCTTGAATGTATTGATGAGGAAGAAGAAATGCTGTCATATGCCTTCTGTTGCCATTATTTGAACCAGCGCTACCTGGAAACCTAGTTCCTAACCTTTCTTCCATTTTTGTTAAAGGCAAAATCTAAAGTTTGTACTCCACACATGTACTCCACACATCCAACCACAAACCCAATAAGGGATGGAGTTTTTGCTGCTGTTTTTATACAAGTACAGATGACAGGAATTCTGCCACCGTTTTTTCTTAAGAACTGACTATAAAAAGCACCTGTTAGAAATGACCTGCTCTTTTGAAAAAGAGGACTCTTGAGCATCTGTTCCATAATGCATTTGGAAAATTTCTTACAAACTGAGTCTCCACTTTACTGCCTACATTTCAATTTCAGAATGACTATATAATTTTTATCTGAGGAAAACATTTCGTTTTCTTAGGAAAAAAAATTCTGTGAAAGTGCACCAGGCATTCTTCAGCTCTTTAAAAACTGTCAAAAAGCCAAAAGTGATGGGATTTTTTTACATGCAGAATTTTTGCTACAATACTAGGAATTTCTCTTATGGCAAGTTCAAAATCTGTGAGCAATCTGCTACACAAAAGCATTACATACGAGTTCAAAAGTAACAGAAAGAAATCCACTGTTATCATCAGGACATAATAATGTACATGATTTATTCCACCTACCAGAAGCAGATTGCATTTTTACAGTTAGTATTTGCTTAAGAATTCCAGTAAGCACTGGTTATAAAACTAATTTACCAAGAAATCTCTCAACCTCATATAAATCACTAACAAAAACATCTTTTTTTTGTTCATTGTCCCCAGCTTTCTACCAGAACTGGACCAACAGATATTCTTTTCTGTGGGAAAAATGCAGAACTCAGGTTTTACACCATGCGTTTTAAGAGATAACTTAATAAGCAATCAATAAATCAGATAAATTGTGCCCTGGGTTCAAACGATAGTGGAACTGAGGTCTCTTTCTCAAAAGAAAGAAAAAATCCATAGAACTGCTGGTTCTGATAAAAGTGCTATTCATACATGTCACTCCAAGGACATGTTGATCTGTTTCCTACTGAAATTCTGAGGGTCATGGCTAAGGTCTGCAATGCTGCAGAGAATGTAATTGAGGTAAACTTAAAAGGAGATAAAGCGATCACTCATTAAAATTTAAAAGATTAAAAGTATAATAATGTAAAGTCTGTCTCTACTTCACCCACTTCGATAGCAATTCTTGGCACAACAAATATCCTAGGGACGCATATTTCTATCAAAACAGATTAAACAAATTAAATAGGAATATATCCAATTATAGATGATACGCATTATCTTGGCAAACTATATTTGCTATCAAGCAATGGAATTCAAGAATGAATCCCCCTGTTAATTCTGCACAGAAAGGCTAAAAATCTGCCTGTCTGATACATATTCTGCTATCATGTGTTCAGTCACACTTCTGTTTGAACACCATGACCTAGATCCTATTTCACTCTGCAACCCCAAATGGCATTTGCTCAGTGTCATGTAACTATACTTTTTGGCACTTATACAAAGTTTGCAATCCTATTCCATGTCAAGTGTGGATAAATCAGGATCTACACATCCACTGAGCATGCTCAGTAGGGCTGTACTCTTGCTGGGCAAAGACATAGTATTTGTATGCTTGCCCAGGGACACATAGATAAACTCCAAAATTGTAGACTGGCAAAAAGTCATGACTAGAGTATGTGAAACTTTGAAGGGGAGTTTAGGTGCTTTAGAACTCCAATTTACATTGCAACAGAGGTTAGGCAGAAATAAAGTACCTAAATGATTGGTTGGGATTTGTAGTCCAGTCCCAGCACACACTAAGTAAACCAGCAGAGCAGGGCAGCTCTGTACTCAGGGGAAGCTGAGTTTAACCCCACTCCCTGGTCCCAGATCCCATCTGGGGTTTGTCTGGAGGGGCCAGTGAGCCAGCCCACACTGCTCCAGCTAGGGAGCAGAGGGGTGGGGCCAGCCCTGCTCTCTACAGCAGACAGCCCAGCCCAGCCCAGCCCAGCCCAGGGTGTGAGGGAGTGAAAGAGGAGCCCGAACTAGCAAGAGAAGCGGCAGGCTGAGAGTCTCCCTTACCTGCAAGTGTCAATCCACCACGGCTGGAAGCTGTCACAAAGCAATGTTTTTCTAATCAGTGCTTCCTCCAGATTGGAGGAGGCAGTCCAGTGCTGACATTTAAATCCCTTATCACAGAAGCTTGGGGAGAGAAGAGAACCTGGAAGCTAGAAGCTGTTCTAGCAGAGGAGGTAGACTGGGCAGACAGAGCAGATTCAGCCATCTGGCAGGAAACGGCTGGTCGGGATTAGATGTGGGGCCAAGAAGACAGATTGGGACTGGTCCCCTGCAAGTCAATCTAGCCCTATAGCTAAGGGCTGCATTAGGAGCCTGGACTTTCCAGCTCCATGACCAGGGAGAATCTTCAGAGAGAGAAAGGATGGCAGAGACACAAGTTGCTTATCTGCTCTGAGTGAGTGAAGTTCTTTCATTTGAAATTTCTTTCGCCAGTTGTTGTTTTTTCTGGAGCTCAGTTGGCCTCACTCTGAGTTGAAGGGCCCAGACATGGGGCATAGTAAAAGGGTAAAAAGGACTGTGCTTTGAAAGACCACAGACTCCAAAAACCCTCAATGTCAGCAGTCTTGGCTGTCTTCTACTGGGTGTATATAAACCTTGTGATAATTGGGACTAGTCTTTTAAGCTGCTTGGGGAAAGTGAGCTATACAGAACCTGGTCTGGATTCAGGATGGACTGTGTGGAATTTTGTTTCTTTTGTTCTGCTGGAACACATTTAGATAGTTGCCTAGAATAGCTTGGCACCATCCCATGGGGAATATGGGACTGGGACTACAACCAGTGATACTGGGGAGGCAAAGTTATTATAATTTTCCTTCATTGTGTGGGCCGTTAGGCTGAGAGCTTTAGTCTTCGACCAAGACAACAAACTGACTATGGTGTGAAATGGGTAAGGGGTATAGGGAAAAGCAGACCCCTTTCCCCTCCCCTTCCACCCTCCCCCACCCCAAAGATCAAATTGAGAACCTCAGGATTGTACCTATCTGCATACTCTTCCTCCCAGTTCAATTAGGTGTACCACCAAGTCGTGGCAAGAAAAAGCGCAAGAGTTTATTCTAACAGCAAATACAGACTTCCCAAGGACTCATGCTGATGATCTGGCCAACAGATTCCATTAGAAGCACAGATCCCAAACATACCTGCTGAAGCCCTGACACAGGGCTAAAAAGTATGCTGGGATGATGGGAAACTCAGATTTAACTTAACCAGGAAGGGGTCTGGAACAGAAGTTCCATATACCAGTTTGACCTAAATCAGTTAAGTCTGATACTACATTCAACCAAGGTCATCTTTAACCAGTTTCAGCCATTTTGAAACTGGTTTATGTGCATTGAACTTCTGCTCTGTTACAGGTTTAAACCAGTTTCTGACCACTTAAACCAGTTTATGTGTAACTTCTGTCTCTAGCTCTAAGGATCTTTTCAGGTCTAAACAAACAATAGATATA